ACACAATAGCTTTAGAATTTCGTTTCGTTCGTCTTAATAACCGACCAGGTCATAAACTCGGTATTTCCGAAAGGTCGGCTAAAACATGTGTATAACGGTCCTTGTAGTTAAGAGTCGACCTGGAGGAATTTTCCGCGACCCATCGAACCTTCGAGAAACCCCCTCCCATACTTAGACAGTGCCCTCACCCCCGCTCTGAGAAGGGCAGGAAAAGGGGGTTACTTACATTTTAAGTAGGACTTCGTAGTCGACGACGGAGACACTTTGTAGCTTACCATACATGGATTCACATCAACCATATACACAACTGTACCCTTGGTGCAGTCACACAAAAATACATTTCGTATCACTCAATAAACAAATACAGTCCACTTTCCACACCTTCGACTGGAACTTCAACGAGTGAAGTTCCTCCGCGTCGTTTAATCGTCGCCAACAAACCGTCGACGCTGCGACGCATATACACGAATTATAATCTACTTACACAATTAGAATATTGCTCATTTTCGTTGATACTTGGGCGATCGTCGGTTTGTTAATATTTTGATAAAACGATGTCGTTGAATTTTGCAAATTAACAAAAGAATCAATTAACGTCGTTACAACTCCTTCACTCGTGACTCCCATAACCACGTGTCCCATCTAATTAGAGCGAGCAAAGAAACTTCCCTGTTCGTTAAAATTTCCTGGTCATATCGAAAATTATCGCACGATATTCGAATAATTTTCCTCGCGAATTTTCTGTTGACGTTAAAATTCACGGATTTGACAGGAATCAATCAATAAAATCCCCGTGGCGGGAAATTCCATGAACGTCCCATCAATTAACGCTGATTAAGCGCCATTGGGTGTTGTCACTTAAAAACCGCTGATAAATTATATTGGATTAACATTACCCTTACCTTGGATGTTCTCCATTAGAGAAATAGAAATATGAAAAATAAAGTGGAAAATCAATTTCGAGAGGGATCAAAGGAACTTTCTAACCCCTTTGACTGACGTCGAGAAGTGGAGGTTAATTTTTTCTAAGGTACCACTTTAAAATACCGCTGGAAATAAAGGACACCTTCTCGTAAATAAAATTTAATTGAGAAGAAAAATAGAATATACTCTGGTGTTGATTTTGTCAAAATGAAGACGAAATTAAGGCAAATGTGGATCTTCGAGGTTTGGATCAATTTTCAAATATTAAAAGAACAAACATCAAAAAAGGAACAAAAGAGTAAAATGGAAAATCAACATACACTTCCTGAACTGAAACGACAAATTAACGCTAATCTATGGAAAAATATATCCCTCGACATTTTCATTAACAAAAATGATTGTGCAAAATATCCAAAATTGACGGTCGAACCCCGTCAACTTCAAAACGGAACCCAAATCAGACGATCAACGGTGTATTATTCCAGAATTAAGTTCAACATTTGTTTAATGGTGTACATTTGGTAAATTTCGAAATAGAAACGAGAAATATGGAACACCTAGCCCTCGACGTAGAAAATAAACTACCATGGGAACGTTGCCCATGCCTTTGATCGTACCGCAGCAAACATCAAAGGTGCAAATAGTCGAAACCGAGAATTCGCGATCCTTTTTCTTCTTTCGTGAACACCCAGTGCACGGTGATAAACAAACCGTGGATGAAAGAGCGCCGCTACTATAGAAGAGGAAAGAAAAAAATTCGGGGCCGGGGGGGGTGTGCACCTGGGTGACAATTTCGCTGAGGGTGCTTTCGCGCGGCAGAAGCAATCGTTCCATCAAAACGTTCGTTTCGTCAGGATTCAACTCTCGCCCTTTTCATTTCGCCTCTGCACGCGTTTTCCGTCGCGATAAACCGACACTTTCACGACGGCAGTCACTAATAAACCTCGTCGACGATTGTTAACCTAACTTTAAAACGAGGAAATCGATTGGCGAGAACGTTTAAACGAATTTTTTCGCGAGAACTGTCAGACACTCGGAAAGTTGGAAAAAGCGGGGCAAATTTTTGGGAAATTCGACGTTAGATTATTTTAATAACTTTTTACAATTAAATATTCGTCGTGTGGCGACCGCCACATGGGGGGGCCACGCACTTAGGCCTGGCGACTCTTGGCCCTCGAGGCGAAGAATCGAGAGATGTTTTTCTAAACATCTCCGAGTTTCTTCGTCCTCGACGTCGCCTACACTTCAAAATTAGGTTAAGCGTTATCGGATTCAAATAAATATATTTTTATTAAACAACTTGCCCGAGTAATTACTTTACACCACGTCACTTCCAAAGTCGTGTACTCTGTACATTTTTCTTGTGAAAAAAATAAATCAAAAATGTTAAATGGAATTGTGTTCACATGAGACTTAAAGTTGGGGAAAAAAGTGTAATTTGTTGTTACAAAGAGAAGTAACTAGTTCTTCGCTTGAAAGTGAGTGAAAAATGTGCAATGAAGTTTTTGTATAGGATGCTTTCTCTTTGAAGAAATCAGTTACGAAAATTCTAGGGTGCATCAACCATCTACTACTTAATTATTCATTATTTGTATCCTCTAATGCACTGTTAATGTGCCACTATTTCCAAAGGAAACGTATTCAAAGCTGTCAATTAAATTACACACAGGACCCCAAATTTTTCAACGTCAATTCTCTCGAAAAGGAAGACACGTACGAGAAAATTTCATTTCAGCAAATCACAGCGTGCCAGCCAGTGCTGCACTTCAACGCGACACATTGCATAAAGTAAATGGAGAATATGTGTAATTTATGAAATTCGAGTGAAATTTTAAAAATGTCTCCTTTGAAAATTTGTCATGTTTGTAAAATTCACTCTAATTCAATGTTCTTAATTCTGGCGGCACAAATGGCGCTGCCAGCGTTCCAGGTCGTGGCCGCTTCTCTGTTTTAGTGAGTTTTTCTCGTTGCAAACCCAGACCATTTCCCGTGGATGCATTAACGCGAGAGCTTTCTTGATGAGGAAAAACAACCCTTTGTGAAGTTGTTTCTGGCGCTGTTTCCTGTTGTCTCCGTTTCCATTCATGACCCCCTTTCTGTTTTGTTTTTTGGGTTAACCGTGTGTATAATATAGCGAGTTAATGATGCTCTGGTGACGCTTCATAGAAACTGAAAGCTGCAGCAGGGAATTTTTTTTTGGCACGAAGTTAGCATCCATCGAGGATTGTCAAGGGAGAACTAAGTTTGCGATGGCTTAAGATGGACTTTTGGAACTTAAAATTAGCAAATAAATTAGTATATAATTTTAGTAAAAAATGAAAGTTAATGAAGAATTGTTTCACTGGAGTTAGTAATGTTTTGCTGTATTTTCATTTATTTGAGAAATTTCCAAATTTCTGTTATCTCTAACATTCAAATTTATTTATTTTCCAGGTTTTCAAATGTGCTAATTTTGAAATTTCCGAATTGTCAATCTTTCAAATTTTCAAATCTCCAAATTTTCAACATCCAAATTCTATTTTCGCAGTTTAACAATTTTCCAATACAAATTTCTTAGGTTAGAAAATTGCACCGCAGCGCCACTTTTCTAAAAAAAGTGACGCACGCGTGTAACCTTGTCGCGGATTAAAACGCGAACATTAAACTAGCGATAAATGTTCCCCTTTATGGCGCGGCAAATATGATCGTAAATTAGTTCTCTTGGAGGCGATGACGGTTCGTTCGGATCGTAATTTTTATTTCACGAATAAATGTTTTCTGTTTTGTTCCCTTTTAATGGAATCCAGAAATCAGAGCGGCAAACAAATTGCAGAATTACAAATGGACTCGCAGTTATAAACGATCTCGAACAATCAGAAAGCAAATGGAACAACCATTTCGATCGTATCGTTTTGTTTAACGAAACACCAGTTTATTTAACAATGGGTTCGAGCTGGTAGTGAAATAACGAAAAGTATGCTCCATAAAATTCGACAGAAATTAATGCCAATTGTAACTTCATAATGGACTGCCATTATGACAGTTGTTATTGAATATCGCGTTGCACACCAGTGTAGCATATTTCTTATCGAAATTGTCTGTACTTGCAATAAATATTCCTTTTATCGTGAAATAGTAGAAAGAGTAAAAATCAAATTTTTGAAAAATATAAAATTTCTTAAAAGAAACTTGAAGTTTTCTTGAAGGAAAAATATTAATTTACAAATTTAATTCTTATAGAAGAACTTATCAGTTCACGGTAGAAGCTTCACAAAATTTCTCATTTAAAAAATTCCATTTCTACAAATGAAATTATTTAACAAAACTGACAAACACTACAAAAAATTGAATTTCAAAATTTATAAATTTAAACACGAACCAGAGATCACAGCTGAAGAACATAACCTAAATAGTGATTTAAATATGCTATTACAGCGGGGTATCCTGATAATCACATCAGTCACCGGACCTTTATTACTCATTCCCAAGATTAAGTATCAGACTGGCAGAGAATTTCACGTTGGCAAATTGTCCATGGAAGGTAGCGGTTATTCCTCCGATTCCTTTATCTGACAGACGACATAATATCACGGTTGTGTCACCTACAGTCCTCGGAGAGCAATCTGACAGAGCCACTATAATAGGGCAATTCCTTCCAGAGGACTGTGGTATCCCGAGAAATTTCTTCTTTCTCTGTTTCTTCCTTTTTTTTTTCCCCCACCCCGCTCCAGATCTCCTTGATATTAATACACTGTTACGTTAAGTAATAACTGCTGAAACAATGCGATCCTTTTTTTTTTTTTGCTCAGTTTGTTTTTAAAAAGAGGATAATGGACACGCTTTTCTTAGAGGAGAAACAGAGACCTTAATTACCAACCTGATATTTAACGAAAAAATAAAAGTGCCTTCAGATGATGATGAAGGGGAAAACTTGTTAGGTTATTTCATTTTTGGTAAACCAAAATAATGTCTCTTTCTTTAATAATTTATTTTTTGCCAGTCAATGTAACGTACCAAGTGTAGAGATAGATTGGTACTTTAATGTTTAATGAAAGCATAAAGTGTAAGTGTCTACATAAACTTTTATGGTGTTACAGTTGAGGTTATGTTCCTGATATGGGGCATCAGGCTGTGCATCGTGGTGAGAAAGACACCGTCGGAGTTCAACGAGAGTCGATTCATCTCGATGGCGATTTACAACGAATTTCTGCTCTCTGTCTTCCTCAACGTCTCCATGTAAGTATCGAACTTCGAGAATTTTTCACGTAAAGGGTGTTGGAAAATATTTTCCTTTCCTCCGGTAAAAAAAACAACAACAAAACAAATAGAATGAGATATTCAATTAGAACTTTATAAATTTCAATCTACTGAATTTATACTCTGAAAAATGTTCGTGACATTTCTTCCCCGAACGTAAAGGTAAATAAAAAGGACGTAAATACGCTGAATCTTCTACAGGGTGCTCCAAAAATTTCTATCCCAAATGAAAAATTCAGAATTGACTGAATCACGTTCGAAATGTCAGCGACCTCTACAAAACTTACGAGAAAATTGAACGCATCGCCTAGAAGATGTACGAAAAAGTACGGAAATCCTAACCTAACCTTACAAATGGTACCAAGTGCGTTCTTCGAGGAGCATGTTGAAAAAATAACCGCGAAACTTAACGATTCCCTATCTCGAAGGGAAAATCCCTCGTTTAAAAATCAGAGAGCCCCGCGGTGGTCCGTGATAATTGCTAAGTCTAACAAACGACGGCTGGATTCTTTATTGGCCGGAGGAATCTGCGATTGTGCGGGGCGAAATGGCGCCATTATGAACCACTCTGGTGCCACGAATTATTCGCCCTCGCGTATTCCCTTAGTAACCAGCTCCATGCCTCCCTCCCTTGTAATGGCAACCCTGCAAACGAGAATTTTTTAACAGCGAAAG